ATCGGCGATCGAAATGAATCGGATCGGCGGAAACCGGCAGCCGAGTCGGGAGAAGTCGAATCGGCAGAAATCGGCAGGCTAGTATGCCTCCGATAACCGATAAGGAATCGGAATCCGAATCGAATCGGATCGGAAGCCACCGAAATCGAATCGAATCGAATCGGAGGAATCGAAACGAGCCCTGGCTGTGATGACCTTCCAGAGCGCTCTTGAACGATGTGTCCCGCTCCGGCAACCCTGAACCCAGAACATGTTAGATCTCTTGGGGAAACGATTGTTACTTCTGGCGGCTTCCGCTGGCGGCTATCCTTAGAAAGTGCAGGGTTCGCTAGGGACTGGTTTCGTTTCAAAACAGCCGACCCCACCCCCCGAAACCCTTCGAATCCGGGAAGGGTTCCGGGAGGCTTTTCGGAGGGTTTCGGGAGGGTTTTGCAAGGCTCTGCGTCGTTTCGGGGGGGAAACCAGTCTCTGGCCAGCTTTTGGCTTTCTAAGGCTCGCCGCCGTTTTGCTTCCGCCAGCTTCCGACGAGCAAGACGTGGCAGCTGCTCGAGGCCTTGAAGGCGCGGTCCCTCTCTGGAAGGCACCATGTGGGCGATTTCGGGAACCCTATACCCAAAAACGTTTTCAGCTCTTCCGCCAGCCTTCCGCCGGCCTACCGCCGGCTTCCGCTGGCGGACGCGGCCTTGCTTTACTTCCGCCGCCCTTCCGCCGCGGAAGAGATGACAACTCATTAGAATCTCGAAGGCGATGCCCTTTTTTGAACGCCCCATATACGCATACTGTATCCTCATCCTGGGCCTGCCTGAGAAATTCTGGTCAGAACTTTTCCCCCAAACCCAAGCGCGCCAACGGACGTAGCAGTCCTGGATGCGAGGAGCTCTCGAGCAACAGTCTGTGCCAGCCTCCTGTTTCGTGCCTTTCTTCCTCGCCTTCCGCTCCTCCTCTTTTGCTCAGGTGCTCCGCTCTCCTCCCTCCTCTCCCTCTCCCGCCTCCTCCTGCTCCTCCTGCTCCTTCTGCTACTGCTGCTTCTCCGTCTCCTCTCCCTCCTCCTCCTCCTCCTTCTCCTCCTCCTCCTCCTCCTCCTCTTTGTCTTTGTTGTCAACGTCATCGTTCTGCTCCTCCTTTTCCTCCTCCTCTGGCTCCCCCCTGCTTTTCTGCTGCCCCTCCTCCTCCTCCTCCTCCTCCTCCTCCTCCTCCTCCTCCTCCTCCATTCCTTCTCCTTATAGATAACTCCTCCCTGTCGCACCCCGAGGCCAGCTTTTAAGGCGGGCCGGGCGTTTCGCCTGAGACTTCCTCACCAGTTATGACTCTGAAGCTTAAAAAGTGACAGCAGTTTCACATATGGAGGGCGGGTCCTCCTCCTCCTCGTCCTGCTCCTCCTACTCCTGGGCCTGCCTTAGCAATTCTGGTCATCACGTCTTTCCAAACCCAGGCGCGCAAACGGACGTGGCATTCCTGGGCGCGAGGAGCTCTCGAGCAACAATATGTGTCGGCCTCCTACCTCATGCCTTTCTTCCTCGCCCTCCGCTCAGGTGCTCCGCCCTCCTCCCGCCTCTCCCTGTCCCGCCTTCTACTCCTCCTGCTCCTTCTGCTACTCCTGCTTCTCCTCCTCCTCCTCCTCTTCCTCCTCCTCCTCCTCCTCCTCCTCCTCCTCTTCGTTTTTGTTGTCATCGTCATCGTTCTGCTCCTCCTCTTTCTCTTCCTCCTGCTCCTCTTGCTCCTTCTGCTACTCTTCCTCCTCCTCCTCCTCCACTTTCCTCCTCATCGTCTCTGTGGTCATCGTCACCGTTCTGCTCCTCCTTCTCCTGTACCTCCTCCTCTCTTTCTCCTTCCCCTTCTTTTTCTTTTTCGTGTTCTTCTTCTCTTTCTTTCTTCTTCTTCTTCTTCTCCTCCTCCTCCTCCTCCTCCTCCTCTTCCTCCCATTCCTCATCCCGCTCCTCCTCCTATTCCATCTTTTCCTCCTCCTCCTCCTCATCCAATTAAGATTGCTCCTCCTCCTCCTCCTCCTCCTTTCTCCTCCTCCTCATTCTTCGCTTCGTCTTCCTCTTCTTCTTCCTCCTCCTCTCCTCTTCCTCCCCCTCCGCCTCGTCGTCGCCCCTCCTCCCCGCGGTCCTGGAGGCGAGCATGGCGCCTAGACGCGCGGGCGGCGGGGGCGTTGTCGGGAGTGGCAGCGCGGGGGGTCCCTGTTTTGGGGACCGAGAAGGCTGCTGCTGCGCGGGGCGTGGGGAAGAGGAGGGGGAGGGGAAGGAGGAGGAGGAGGAGGAGCATGAGGAACAGGAGGAGGAGGAGGAGCAGGAGGAGGAGGAGGAGGAGAAGGAGGAGGAGGAGGAGGAGGAGGAGGGAGGAGGAGAGGGAGGAGGGGAGGAGGAGGAGGAGGAGGAGGAGGAAGGAGGAGGAGGAGGAGGAGGAGGAGGAGAACGCGCAGGAACGTGAGATCGCAGGAAAAAAACGTGAGATCCCTCCTGAGTTCCTTGCCTTCTTCGCCCCTGCCGGCGCGCATGATCGGGCGCGCAAAATGGACGACGGATCCGTGGATCATCCGTGTGGGCGCCAGATCCGTAGACCGGGAAGGTACCCCCGAAACATGAGGCCACTGTCGCCCGATGTGGCGACGGAGCGCGCCGATTCCGTACAGAAGCAGTACCAGTCGCTGACCCGCGTGACTCAGTCCATGTTTGCGCTTCTTCGATGTGAGGCGCCCTGGGGCGGGGATTGGGGCGCTGCGACCTGGGGTTGCGCTTGACAGGTCTCCCCGGGACTGCTATTGTGCCCTGACAAAACACCTGGGCGACACACCCGTAGGGAGTTGCCCAAGGTGCCTGCATGAATTCACATGCAGTCGGACCTCGCAACATGAACGGCGGCACAGACCCGCCCCAGGCGTCACATCTGCGTCGCCGGTGCGGGGCGCCTCGAGATGCCACCCTGGGACACGGCCACCGGCACCACCCCCACATGGCCGCCGGCCTCAACCCTCCCCGGGAATGCCCCGCGGGCCTGGCCAGCCCTGTGACGCGCACTCGTGCAGGCGCGCGGGGGCGCGCGGCGGGCCCCAGCCGGCAGCCCGACGCCGCGCGAACGCCACTGCTTCGAGACGCAGTCGAATAATAACAAAACGGCGTACGCATAAACTGTTGGAGCTCCGCGAGGATCTTAAATCGAAACTGGATTCCCCTTCCTATTGTTTGGGCTCCCCAATCCCGAATATGGCGGAACTCTCGAGCGAATGCCTCGTATGTGGTTGAGGTGCCAAGAAAGTTTCAAGCGGGACCCCCCTGCCGATGGGGCCTGCAGCTCATGTTGCCGGTCCGTCCGGGTCATCGGAGCTTTCCTAACCGTCGCTACTTTTGGCCTCTCGAGGCGCAAGTGTAGAACAAGTCCAGAGCGGGAGCCTCGTCTGTGAGTGACTTGCGAGGAAATCTCAAGCGGGAGCCCCTTCTCTATGGGCCCTGCGCCTCATGTTACGAATCCGAGCGGGTCGTCGGGGCCTTGTAACTGAGGTCATTTTGGCCTCTTGAAGCTTGAATCAGGCGGAGAACTCGAGAGGAAGCCTCGTCTGTGAGTGAATGGCGCGGAAATGTCTGCGGAACTTGCTGATCCTGTGGGCGCCCACGCAGAAATTCTTGGAGCGCGGGCCGCCGGCTTCCTTGCGGAACGCGCTCAAAGAGTTTGACAAGAGAGCGGGAAACTCCAGGGCTTAGGCGGAATAGCTCGCGGCCGAGCCGGGCTTCGCGCTGTCTCCCGCCAGAGCGAAGCCCCAGCGGCTCGTGTTGTCCCAACGGCCTGGCCTACGGGGTTGCCCCAGCCGCTTCGCGATCTGGCCATTGGAGAACGCCGGCCGTGGCGGCAACGGCGCCAACGGAAGATCGACTTGCGTGCCCTTGCTGGAAGGGCCGGGGAGGAGATGGATAGGGGAGAAAAAACAGGAGGACGTGGAGAAGGCACAGCAGGGGGCTGGAAGACGGCCTCTGCCAGGCGGAACATTCACACTATGACTTTGAAGGAGCTATTTGCTAAAGGAAACAAGCCTTTTTGTAAAGTGCTGCTGGCTCTGTTGCGCGACAGCCGTGGCGGCGTGCCCGAATTGCCGAGCCACGTCCTGCGCTCGCGCCGTTAATCTACTGTCAAAAAGCATCCACAACTCGCGGGAAACATGTGCAGGGATCGCCGCGACCCAATGTAACGCGACCCTAATTACTCGAACAAATGCATCGCGGGGTGAATTGGCAAGGAAGACAGGGCCGAGCGGGCCCTGGCCCCGCATCACCACCGCATCCCCAGGGCTACTAAGGCTGACTGCGGACTTTACTAAAGCGAGGAAGCGGCTTTACTAAAACGAGGAAACGGATTTACTACAGCGAAGAACAGGCTGTATTAAAGCGAGGCAGCGACTTTAGTAAAGGCGCGTCGCTCAATACATTTTGAACGCCGACGTTTCAGTAAAGCAAACAGAGAGCCTTAATACAGCGGGGAGGCGGCTGAAGTACAACTGCGCACGCAAATGTCGCTCCTCCCACAAAGCCTGGCGCGGGGCTCCAGGAACAAGGGCGGGGCGCAAGTTCGCCTGTGGGCCCAGGCCCCGTCGTCGCCGTCGCCGCGAAGTTCGTCGTCGCCGCCGTCGCCGTTGCCGCCGTCCTCGCCGCCGTCGGCGCAGACGCATCCGTCGTCGTCGCCGTCGCCGTCGTCGTCGCCTCGACGCCCGAGCAATCACGTTATTACCAGCGGCGGGTCGCGCGCGACCGCGCGCGCCATTGCGCTCGCATTTCCGCTCCTCCGACGGGGGCCCAGGCGGACATCCTTTTTTTATATACGTGTATATATATATATATATATATGTTCCACCCACAACTTTTTAAAGTAATAGTAGTACATATACGCCTCAAAAAGTGAAGGGCGACGAGGAGACGGGACGAGAGCATCCGCAATCACAAGGACGACGATGAGGTTTCCTTCTGGATTCGTTTGGCAGGTTCTCGTGTGGGGTCCTTCCGTCGGCGTATTTCTTTTTCGACCGCTGAACTTGCTCAATATTTCTCAAGCGCTGCTCTGGCTCGGCACGCTGCCGGGCGTGGATGATCTTGTGCACCTCTTGCTAGACCGCGCCGCCCTCCGGGAGCTCGACCACGGAATCTGCTCGCAAGGCCTTTCGCCTGGAGTTCGCGGCAGCTGGGAAGCGGCCCTGGGTGGACACAAAGGGCAGGCCCCCCTCTCTCGAGGTCAGGCACGCCGGCCGGAACAAGATCTTTGCCGACCGCGGACGAGCAGAGTCCGTGGCGCTCGTCGCTCCGCTTCTCCTCCTCCTCCCGAGCGGCCTGCGGCCGCCTGTGCACTCGCCCCAGAGAAGACGGCGAGGTTCACGGGCACCGAGGGACGCACCTCATAAGTTAGGACGGCGCGCCGCCGCGACCACCGATGCGGAGGTGGTCCTGGAAGGGCTCCATCGCCACCGCGCGGGTCCCGAAGTGTTTGCTCGGGCCTCCGCGGGGGAACTGGCAACACGCAAGAGTGACCCTGGGCAAGAATGACCTTTGGTGCGCGGTTGAACGGGGGACGTGGGGTGGCCGAGCCTGGGCGCGCAAGCCGCTGCCACCGCTTCACGCTCCGCGATCGGGGGACCCCCTTGGGGCCCGCACCACAGGCCACTCTGGCGAGAGGTCACTCTTACGTCTGGTCGAGGGAGGGCCCAGACCTCGTCGTCGTCGTCCTCCTCCTCCTCCTCCTTCTCTTCCCCCTCCTCCTCCTCCTCCTCCTCCTCCGCCTCCTCCTCCTCCTCCTCCTCTTTCTCCTCCTCCTCCTCCTCCTCCTCCTCCTCCTCCTCCTCCTCCTCCTCCTCTCCCTCCCTCCTCCTTCCCCCTCCCCCTCCCCCCTCCTCCTCCTCCTCCTCCTCCTCCTCCTCCTCCTCCTTCCTCCTCCTCCTCCCTCTCTCTCCTCCTCCTCCTCCTCCTCCTCCTCCTCCTCTCCTCCTCCCCTCTCCCTCCTCCTCCTCCTCCTCCTCCTCCTCCTCCTCCTCCTCCTCCCCTCCTCATCCCCTCCTCTCCTCCTCCTCCTCCTCCTCCTCCTCCTCCTCCTCTTCCAGGGCCGGTCGCAGCGCGCGCAGGTGCACCTCGCCGAGGGGAGAGGCCCCTCGCCTCCAGGGCGGTCCAGCGCGCGGCCGGTGCCAGCCAGGGCCCGGCGCCAGCCATGGCCACGGCGCGCAGCGTCCTCGTCAGCCCCCTCGCCTCGCGCGCAGGCGCTCCAGCGCCCCGCGCGTCTGCGGCCCGAGGTCGGGCAGCGGCTCGGGCGGCGAGCTCGGCGGCGCGTGCAGCTCTGGACGCCTCCGCGCCCTCGCGGACGACTGCGGCCGCGTCCGCCACAGCTGCGCGGCGAGAGTCTCGCTGGCGCGTGCGCCCGCCAACGCGTGGCCCCGCAGCAGGGCGTGGGCCCTCAGCGCGGCGCGGGCCTGGCAGGCCTGCTCGCAGCTCTGGAGCACGGTGGCGAGCACGTGGGAGGCGCTCGAGGCCCGCCCGCCTCGCAGCAGCAGGAGGAGGGCCCTGGACCAGCCCGACCACCGAGCGCATGCCCGGAGCACGATGTTGTGGCTGGTGGTGTCAGGCGCGAGACGATGCCTTCCGGCGCCCTGGAGGAGCCACAGCGCGAGGGGCCAGCGGGCGCCTCTCTCCACTGACTCCAGGACGGAGTTCAGGCTCGCCACGTCGGGCCCCTCGCCAGCGGAGCGGGTGGCAAGAAACGTATGGACCGCCTCGGCCCAGCGGGTGGCATTGGCGCATGCGCTCAGTGCGGCCGATAGGCTCGATGCGTTGGCGCCGTCCTCTGCAGAGGCGGTGGCGCGGCGACCCTTGGCGACAAGAGGCAGTAGCGCCGTGGCGCGGGCCCACAACGAAGCGCTCTCGAAAGCCTTCGTGGCCGCACCCCGGGTGACGGCGTCCGGCCGCAGCGCCGCGAGGTGCATGCGCCCGAAGAGGCGCAGCGAATGCCGCCACTTCCTGCGACCCGTGCAGGCGCTCATCGCGGCGCTGTAGCTCACGTTGTCTGGTGCGAGCCGCCACCGCCGCATGCCGCGAAGGGTGGCCAGGGCCAGCTCCCAGCGCATGCTCCTCTGGCAGGCGGCGATGGTGGAGTTCACGCCGACCGTGTCGGGGAGACCCCGGGAGAGCGCCGCCTGGTCCTGCAGCCAGAACGCTACCTGCCACGCGCTCCCGCTCGCTGCCGCGCTGGAGGCCGTGTTCCAGCTTGTCGCGCTCGCCGCCACGCCTCCGGCCCACATGTCGTCCAGCAGCAGCAGCGCCGCCGGCCACTGGGCCGCCCGCTCGCAGGCCGCCAGGGCGGCGTTGTGGCTGATCGTGTCTGGGCGGAGCCCACGGTCCGGGAGCCCCCGCAGCAGCTGCACCGGGTGCTGCCAGAGGTGGCCCTGGCCCGGGGAGTCCCCAGGACCTCCAGGACAAGCCCCCCGCGGCCTCCGTGCAGCACCCCTCGCGAGGCCCAGAGGGAGCCCAGAGGGAGCCCAGGGGCTCCAGACTGTGGGGCAGCACTGGGGGCACCTCTTCCCTGACATCCGACGTCCTGCTTTCTTGTCAGCGCAGGGTCCCCAGAGGTCCAGACCCCTTCCCCGTGGCTGGCTTTTCATCCCGGGCCGTTTTTTGAAAGCCCCAGGGCCCAGCCAGGGCAACCAGAGGTCTCAAGCAATCCCAAACCTTCCGCCGTGCATCGTCTGGGACGAGGGCGCGTCCTCGCAGAACAAATCACGATCAAGAGTCCTGGACCCCATCGTTTTGCAGCACTGCCACGTTCTCCGAACCGCATCGATCCGTGCTGGTCCCAGGCCTCGACACGAGGCGAGCCCGCCCGTGGCGAACACACGCCGCGATGCCAGGATCTCAGGGCGGCACGCGGGGCGAAACGCCGGGGGACAGCTCGGGCCAGGCACGCCCGCGGCAGGCCCCGAGCTGCAGGGCCGCGTCCCAGCGGCGTCCCCGCCCCAGCGCGGTGATCGCTGATGGACCTGTTTGCCACCACCGCCACCACAAGTTGGAGGGGGGAAGGAGGTGGACGATGAAGAAGAAGAGGGGGAGGAGGAGGAGGAGGAGGAGGAGGAGGAGGAGGAGGAGGAGGAGGAGGAGGAGGAGGAGGAGGAGGAGGAGGACCAGTGGAAACCCAAGAGTCCTCAACGATGTTGATATTAAAACTCCCTCCAAGCTCCCTCTGTATAGGCCCCTACAGCGGTTCATTTCCATTAAAGGAACTTCCTCGTTGGAAGACAACAGTTTGAACATCCTGAAGCGTGCCAAAATATGGTTCTCGAGATTTCAACGCCACGCGTCAACCTGACTGCTGCGTCTTGACGATCCAGAATCGTGCCAGAACGCAATTTCTGGGACTCCAACACAGCGAATCAAGATAAATGTTACGCCCGCGTAATCCTAGATCCTTCCAAAACACCATTTCAAGTGCGTTGATCATGGGAATCCGTGAACGAATGCGCGCGGCGCTTAGACGAGAACCACATTTTGAAAAAGAGCCGTCCTCAATCCGTGAAATTCTTGCTAATTCTGAAAACGAATGTGCGCGGCGCGTAGGCGAGAGCCACATTTTGAAAACCTCTCTCCTTCAACCCTTCAAGCTCTTGCAAACCTTAAAAACGAATGCGCGCGGCACTAAGGCGAGAGCCACACGTTGAAAACGACCAGCCTTCAATCCGTGAAGCTCTTGCACATTTTTAAAACGAGTGCGCGCGGCGCTAAGGCGAGAGCCACATTTTGAAAACCACCCGCCTTCAATCAGCGAAGCTTATGCAAATAAAAAACAATGTGCGCGGCGCATCGGCGAGAGTCACATTTTGAAAGCGACCCGCCCTCAATCCGTGAAACTCTGGCAAAATTTGAAAACGAATGTGCGCGGCGCTACGGCGAGAAACACATTTTCAAAGCGACCCGACCTCGATCTGTGCAAGTGTTGTCACTTTGTAAGCTTTGGAATCATAGATGGTGAGGAAGTCTCAAGCGAAACGCCCGGCCCGCCCTAAAACTGGCCTCGGGGTGCGACAGGGAGGAGTTATCTATAAAAAGAAGGACTGGAGGAGGAGAAACAATGGAGGAGGATGAGCAAGAGGAGGAGGAGGAGGAGGAGGAGGAGGAGGAGGAGGAGGAGGAAGAGGAGGAGGAGGAGGAGGAGGAAGAGGAGGAGGAGGAGGAGGAGGAGAAGGAGAAGAGGGATGCGGAGGAGGAGGAGGAGGAGGAGGAGGAGGAGGAGAAGGAGGAGGAGGAGGAGGAGGAGGAGGAGGAGGAGGAGGACCCCCTCCCCCTCCTACTTATGGTGGTGGCGGTGGAAAACAAGACCACCAATCGCGGCGTTGCACCCCGCCAGGTCAGCTCGGAGCCCCCGCGCGGCGGCCTCCGCCAGCAGCCGCAGCGCCCACGGCCACCGTGCGGCCCGGGCGCAGGCGGCCACCCCCGCGTTCCTGGAAGAGCGGCGGCGGCGGCGGCGGCGACGACGACGACGAGGTTGACGACGACGACGACGATGAGGTTGACGACGACGACGACGACGCCGACGATGAGGTTGACGGCGGCTGCGACGACGACCGCGCCAACGACGACGACGACGACGAGGATGACAACCACGGCGGCGGCGGAGGCGCGGCGGCCACGCCCAGGAACTCTGGCATGGCGTGCCGCGGCGGCGGCCCCGGCGACACGCTGCGCCTTGCGAGCGGCTGGCGTGCCGCTCCGCTCTGCGGGGCGGGGAGCTGGGAGGAGCTCGGGGCGCTGGCGCTGGGGGGCTGCGACGTGGATCGCGTGTTTCGCCGAAGCGCGGTGGGCCAGAACCGGCGGAACGACTCGGGGATCTTCTGACCCGGGTCAATCCAGACCCGGGTCAGCAGGAAACCAACAACTGCAATGCAGGAACAAAAACTGCGACGCAGATCTTCGCAACCCTGGGTCAGCCAATATGCGCGGCCGCCTCGCGGCCACGAGCAGCTCGCTAACCCAGGTCAGCCAGAGGGCGTCTTCGCAGGATCCTGCAGGATCTGGTGCCCTGGCTGACCCCCGTTTGCATTGACCCCCGTCTCAAGGCTCCCGAACGACACGCTAAACAAAACATCCGGACCGTAAATGCCGTGAGACCTGGGCGTCGCATGCTTTCACACCGGGCGTTGTCGCCCGTTGTCGGGCCCCGGAACCATCACGGATCGATATGGCTAGGAAGAATGTCGCAGAAAGAGTGGGTCCAGGGCTCAGGTCCAGTCTTTTGGCGATGTTGTTTTTTTCTCGCGACGTCGGATCTCAGGGGAGCACGACATCTCGGAGGCCCGCGCGGATTTCTTGTGTCGGCGCTGGTGGGTTCTGCGGCAGTGCCGCGGGGGAGGCGAGCGCGCGGTCAGGCCCAGCTCATGCGGCGTGGACAAGCTGGATGCACCCGTATGGGATCGACAGCAGCACTCACGGGGGGGCAGCCGCGAGGGGAATGACGGGGGGGGGGAAGGGGGGAAAGAGGGGGAATGAGGACAAGACGGCGCAGTGCGGCAGCGACAGGCCGAGGAAGCAAGCGAGGCGCAGCACGAAGGCAGCAACGGCAGCCGACCACGAACGCGGACCGAGGCATCGCGTGAAACCCGGGCCGACCATGGGGGGCCGGGGGGGAACTTTCTTCGTCGGCGGCGAGGCAGAGGCAGTCCGCTCCAGCGTGCGGCATGTCGGGGCAGCCGAAAGGATACTTGGCCGGCGTGCAAGGGGGGGGAGGAAGACGAGGGCGGCCGCGCGGGAGGAGAGGGAGGGGAGAGCGCTCAGACGTGGAAGAGTTCCGCGTCGAGCGGGACGGGGCGGCCGACCGAGGCAGCGGTGACGGGCAGGGGGAAACAGATGAAATCCGCCCATGCACAGACACCCCCAGACACCCCTGTCCTCATCCCCCTCTGCGGCGCCCCCGACGGGGTCCAGCACACGGCGTCGGTCTCAGCGGCCACCCCCAGCAGCCGCAGCGCCCGTTCCCACTGCGCGCGGCGGCCGCAGGCACTGACCTCTCGGGCGGCGCCGACCGTGCACCAGACCAGCTCGATACACGCCGCCGCGCGTGCCAGCACCCGCGAAAACGTGCATCGAAGCGATCCCCTGACAGCCTCGCGCTGCGAAGCGCTACGACTGTAATGTTTCATCGATTTTCGGCCCCTGTCGGGATCCACCAAAGGGGGGTGACCCTGAGGGGGGGCGTCGTGAGTTCGATCCGTTGGTGCACCGAACTGCCGCACACAGATGCCCCCCGCATGCCCACCAATCGGTAACTATCGGGAGCTGCCGGCGGCTGGGGGGCATCTGTTTTAGGCGATTCGGTGCAAAACCGATCGAGCTCACACCGCCCTTGGGCCCCCCCTCCCTTGCGGGATCCCGACTCTGGGGCTGGGGGCCCTCATTGGGCCCCAGGACTGTCAACAACAAGGCTCAGGGTGAAAAGCTGGTCCTGGGGAAGAGGTCCAGACCTCCAGGCGTACACGTTGTGGAACAAACGCGACATCGGATGCTTGGGTAATTACGTGGGCAGAAGCCTCCCCCCTTTGGCCCGGCCAGAGTGAATGGGGTCGGCATATCGCCGATGCATCGGCGACGTCGGCGATGCAGCTGCGACGCCGGCGTGGAGAAAATCGACCGCCAGACCGGGCCGCATCGCCGATGCGTGATGATCATAATGATGATGCTACGCTGCTGCTGCTGCTGCTGATGATGATGATGACGTGATGATGATGATGATGATGATGATGATGATGATGATGATTATGATGATCATGATGATGATACTGTTGATGATGATGTTGCTGCTGATGATGATGCTAATCTCTCATCGTCATCATCATCGTCATCATCATCACCATCAGCATCACCATCATAATCAGCATCATCATCAGCATCATCATCAGCGTCGTCATCATCATTATAATCATCAACACCAGCATCATAAGATCAGCATCAGCATCATCAGCATCAGCAGCATCATCATCAGCATCAGCGTAAGCGTCATCATCATCATGATCATTATAATCATCAGCATCAGCATCAACATCAGCATCATCATCAGCATCACCATCATCAACATCAGCATCATCAGCATCAGCATCAGTATCAGTATCAGCATCATCATCAGCATCATCATCAGCATCATAATCATAATCCTCATCATCATAATCATCATCATCAGCATCATCATCAACATCATAATCATCAGCATCAGCATCATCATCAGCATCATCATCAGCATCAGCATCATCATAATCATCAGCATCATCAGCATCAACATCATCATCATACTCATCAGCCACATACGCTTCAGCATCAGCATCAGCATCAGCATCATCAGCATCATCAGCATCCGCATCATCATCAGCATCAGGATCAGCATCATCAGCATCATCGTCATCAGCATCATCATCATGATCATAATCATCAGCACCAGCACCATCATCATCATCAACATCATCATCAGCATCATCAGCATCAGCATCAGCATCACCATCAGCATCAGCATCATCAGCATTATCATCAGCATCATCATCATCATCAGCAACATCAGCATCATCATCAGCATCATCATCAGCATCCGCATCAGCATCAGCATCATGAGCATCAGCATCCTCATGATCATCAGCATCATCATCAGCATCAGCATCATCAGCATCAGCATCATCATCAGCATCCGCATCAGCATCGGTATCATCATCATCAGCATCATAATCAGCAACACAAGCATCAGCATCATCATCAGCATCAGCATCATCAGCATCATCATCATCATCATCACCAACATCCGCATCAACATCATCAGCATAATCATCCGCAGAATCATCAGCATCAGCATCGGCATCCGCATCAGCATTATGATAATCAGCATCAACATCAGCATCAGCATCACTATCATCATCAGCATCATCGTCATCATCAGCATCAGCATCAGCATCGGCATCATCATGAAAAGCATCAGCATCATCAGCATCATCATACTCATCGACATCAGCATCATCAGCATCCGCATCAGCATCATCATCATCATCAGCATAATCATCATCATCAGCATACTCATCATCATCAGCATCAGCATCATCATCACAATCAGCATCAGCATAATCATCAGCATCAGCATCATCATCATCATCATCATCATCATCATCATCAGCATCAGCATCATCATAATCATCAGCATCATCATCAGCATCAGCATCAGCACCATCATCATCATCATCATCAGCACCATCATCATCATCAGCATCATAAACATCAGCATCAGCAGCATCATCAGCATCATCATCATCATCAGCATCATAATCAGCAGCATCAGCATCAGTATCAGCATCAGCATCATCATCAGCATCATCATCAGCCTCATCATCATCATCATCATCATACTCATCAGCATCATCATCAGCATCAGCACCAGCAGCATCAGCATCAGCATCAGCATCAGCATCAGCATCAGCATCATCATCATACTCATCATCATCATCATCATCAACATCACCACCATCATCATCAGCATCATCAGCATCAGCATCATCATCAGCATCATGATCATCATCATAATCATCATCAGCATCATCACCATCATCAGCATCAGCATCATCATCATCATCAACATCATCATCAGCATCATCAAAATCAGCATCATCATCATCAGCATCAGCATCATGAGCATCAGCAGCATCATCAGCATCATAATCACCAGCATCGGCATCATCAGCATCAGCATCAGCATCAGCATCAGCATCAGTATCATCATCAGCATCAGGATCAGCATCACCAGCATCATCATCACCAGCATCAGCATCATCATCAGCATTAGCATCATCAGCATCCGCATCAGCATCATCATCAGCATCAGTATCAGCATCATCATCATCAGCACCAGCATCAGCATCATGGTAATCATACTCATAATCATCAGCATCAGCATCAGCATCAGCATCATCATCAACATCAGCATCATCAGCATCAGCATCATCATCAGAATTATCAGCACCATCATCATCATAATCATGAGCACCATAGTCATTCGCATCAGCATCAGCATCAGCATCATCATCATCACCAGCATCAGCATCACCAGCATCAGCGTCAGCATCAGCATCATCATCATCAGCTTCAGCATCATAATCAACAGCATCAGCAACATCAGCATCAGCATCATCAGCATCAGCATCAGCATCATCATCATCAGCATCATCATCATCATCAGCATCAGGATCAGCATCAGCATCAGCATCATCATCAGCATCATCCGCATCATCATCATAATCATCAGCATCATAATCATCAGCATCAGCATCATCAGCATCAGCATCATCATCAGCGTCAGCATCATAATCATCAGCATCAGCATCATCAGCATCATCATCAGCATCATCATCATCATCAGCATCAGCATCATCAGCATCATCATCAGCACCAGTATCAGCATCAGCATCATCATCATCAGCATCAGCATCAGCATCAGCATCATCATCAGCATCATCATTATCAGCATCATAATCATCAGCATCAGCATAATCAAGATCATCATCATCATCAGCATCAGCATCATCATCATCAGCATCATCATCAACATCAGCACCAGCACCATCACCATCATCATCAGCATTATCATCACAATCATCAGCAGCATCAGCATCAGCATCAGCATCAGTCCCAGCATCATCATCATCATCATCATCATCATCATCAGCATCAGCATCAGCATCAGCATCAGCATCAGCATCATCAGCATCAGCGGCAGCATCATCATCATCATCATCGTCAGCATCAGCATTGTCATCAGCATCAGCATCAGCATCAGCAGCATCAGCATCAGCGGTGCGGCGAGAGGTGCGGCCCGGGAGACCTCGGCCGCGCAGGCCACGGCACGGCGCGCCGGCCCGCCGTCGCGGCGCCCTGCGGCGTCGGCCGGGTCGCCCGGCAGCGCCGCCGCCGCGGCTGCAGCGGGCCGCGTGCCCGCGCTGGCCGCGGCGGCCGTGCCGGGCGGCGGCGCCGCCGCCCGCGGGGCCCCCGTGGGCCGCGCGCTGCCCGGCGGGCCGCGCGCTGCCCGCGCGCCCCGCGCAGCGGGGCGGCGGCGGCGCGCGCGGTGCCCGCGTGGCGGCGCGGGCGCCGCCGCAAGGGCGCATGCCATGGCGTGGCGAGGCGGGCGCGGCTGGCGGCGTACCGGCACGCGGCCCTGGCCACCGCCCGCGCGGGCGCCCAGGGTCGGGGTGCCCAGACCTGCCCAGACCTCCGGCGCCTCGGCCCCCGAGCTCTCGGCCACGCTCCTAGGGACCGGGCCCCGTCAGGGCGCCGAGGGGCCGAAAACTAGGACAAATATTAAATTCCCAACCATCCTGTGGTGTTGGGTCCTCGTTTTGAAGAGACGGTGCCCGCGTCCTCTCCTCTCCTCCTCCTCCCCCTCCTCCCTCCTCCCTCTCATCATCAGCATCATCATCATCGTCATCGTCACCGTCATCATCAGCATCATCATCATCATCGTTCTTATCACCATCGTCGTCATCATCATCGCCGTCTCCATCATGGCCACACGTTTCGTGGACCCATAGTGAGCTCCACCGAAGGCCCCAGTGGCAAGGTCCGCATGCGGTTCCACCTCCATTTCGGCGCACCCCTCACACGTTCGTGGCCCCATAGGGAGCTCCACCGAAGGCCCAAGTGTCAGGGTCCGCATGCGGTTCCACCTCCATTTCGGCGCACCCCTCACACGTTTCGTGGCCCCATAGGGAGCTCCACCGAAGGCCCAAGTGTCAGGGTCCGCATGCGGTTCCACCTCCATTTCGGCGCACCCCTCACACGTTTCGTGGCCCCATAGGGAGCTCCACCGAAGGCCCAAGTGTCAGGGTCCGCATGCGGTTCCACCTCCATTTCGGCGCACCCCTCACACGTTTCGTGGCCCCATAGGGAGCTCCACCGAAGGCCCAAGTGTCAGGGTCCGCATGCGGTTCCACCTCCATTTCGGCGCACCCCTCACACGTTTCGTGGCCCCATAGGGAGCTCCACCGAAGGCCCCAGTGTCAGGGTCCGCATGCGGTTCCACCTCCATTTCGGCGCACCCCTCACACGTTTCGTGGCCCCATAGGGAGCTCCACCGAAGGCCCAAGTGTCAGGGTCCGCATGCGGTTCCACCTCCATTTCGGCGCACCCCTCACACGTTTCGTGGCCCCATAGGGAGCTCCACCGAAGGCCCAAGTGTCAGGGTCCGCATGCGGTTCCACCTCCATTTCGGCGCACCCCTCACACGCTTCGTGGCCCCATAGGGAGCTCCACCTGAGGCCCCAGTGGCAGGGTCCGCATGCAGTTCCACCTCCATTTCGGCGCACCCCTCACACGTTTCGTGGCCCCATAGGGAGCTCCGCCTAAGGCCTAAGTGGCAGGGTCCGCATGCAGTTCCACTTCCATTTCGGCGCACCCCTCACACGTTTCGTGGCGTCATAGGGAGCCCCGCCTAAGGCCCAAGTGGCACGGTCCGCATGCAGTTCCACCTCCATTTCGGCACACCCCTCACACGTTTCGTGGCCCCATAGAGAGCTCCGCCTAAGGCCCAAGTGGCAGGGTCCGCATGCGGTTCCACCTCCATTTCGGCGCACCCCTCACACGTTTCGCGGCCCCATAGGGAGCTCCACCGAGGGCGCCAATGGCAGGGTCCGCATGCAGTTCCACCTCCATTTCGGCGCACCCCTCACACGTTTCGCGGCCCCACAGGGTGCTCCACCGAAGGCCCCAGTGGCAGGGTCCGCATGCAGTTCCACCTCCATTTGGCGCACCTCTCACACGCTTCGTGGCCCCATCGGGTGTTCCACCAACGACGATACTTACAACGGCGGCATTCGGAATTGCGTATGGTTGGGCCCTTCGCCTGGATAATTCCTGTTGGTTTTCAAGAATATGTCTGTCTGTCTGTCTGTCTGTCTGCCTGCCTGCCTGCCTGTCTGTCTGTCTTTCTGTCTGTCTGTCTGTCTGTCTGTCTGTCTGTCTGTCTGTCTGTCTGTCTGTCTGTCTGTCTGTATGTATGTATGTATGTATGTAGGTATGTTTGTAGATGTGTATGTATATCTGATACACACGTTTATCTATAATTCTCTCTCTCGCTCTCTCTCTCTCTCTCTCTCTCTCCGCTCTCTCTCTCTCTCTTTTTTTTTTTTCTCTCTCTCTCTCTCTCTCTCTCTCTCCCTATATATATATATATACTGAAACGCCAAATGTCTGGGTCCTCGCGCCGGGAGCAGAGGTCACGGCGGGCGGTTTTCGGCCTCCAGGGGGCCCCTCGCCGGGCCCCGGGGCCGTCGAGCCAAGCCGGCCGGGGCGAGAGGCCAGTCCCGGGGAGGGGGCCGAGGCCTCCAGGGGCGGGCCCCGTTGGGGGGGTCTGCGCATGAGCTCTCCTGGCTCGGCGAGGAGGGCATGCGACTGGCTCGTGCCGTGGCGACATCGGCGTGGGCTTCGGGCTTCCAGACCCCCGCGGGCAATGACAAAATCATGACGGGACGCTTTGCGCTATTGTTGGCCTCTGGAGGCCCTTCCGGGCCTTCGGGACCGTCAAAAAACGACTCGGGATGAAACGCCGGTCCAGGGGGATGGGTCGAGACCTCTGAGGGTCGACGTCATGACGTTATGAAAAACCATGACGTCGGGGTCTGGGAGGGCATGCGGCTGGCTCGTGCGGTGACGATATCGGCGTGGGTTTCGGGTACCGCAGAGGGGTCGTTCAACCGCGGCCGCTCGGCGGCCTTTCGCTCCCCAGGTCGCTCCTTATTGGCCGAGGTCTGGGCCAGTGGCGGCTCTCAACCCTGAGCGCCCGCGCTGGGGTCGCCGCCGCGTCGACGCGACGCAAGCCTTCAGCATGCACCGATCTTGGGCCTAAGATTAAGTCAGGCCTGTCCCCCTACAGGGGGATTTTCGACGAAAAATAATCAAGCAATAATCCAAAAACAGTCTGGAGACTATTGTTTGAATCTTTTTTGACCTTCTTGGGGCATTTTTGGGGTATTTTTTGTTTTTCGTCGAAAATCCTCCTGTAGGGGGACACGCCCGACATAAGCCTAAGAGTGCCCAGCCAGGATCGGCGCTGGCGCGAGGCTGGGGCCTCCCGGCGCGGGCGCCCGGCCGCTCGCCAGGGGCTGCCAAGGGCCCGCCTTCTCGAGCTGGGCGCCTCGAGCCGGCAGGCGGCGGGCTGCTGCTGTGGTGGCCTTGGCTCTGGCTCCCGTCGCCGCGCAAGCCATTCGACGTTGAGCCGTCGACAACGGCAGGCATGATGATGATAGTAGCGACGATGATGACGATGATGGCGATTGATGGCAGCAAGGCCAATGACGGCGCCGATGCTGATCACTCCGATGACGATGATGGTGTCCTCGCGTCGAAGGGCAACCTGACCTGGATCGAATCGCGAAATCGGGTCGGACCGGAGACGGGACGGGCCGCCAGCGAACCGGCCAGAGTCGAATCGAAATCCGATCGCCGCGCCTAGCGCTGGTCCCTCACGCGCCGCCCGCGGCCAATCCCTGGTCGGCAAAGAACTGCCGCCCCACCAGCGGCACCGTCCTCGCTCCGCCGCGGACGCCTCCCGGCGTCCGCGAAACGGACCTCGTGTGTGGGCTCTGGCGCCTCGGCTCCTCAACCGGGGGCCGTCCACTCTGCCTGCCGCGGCCGGCTGGTCTGCGTCCGAGGGCCGCCTGGGATCAGTAAGTCGCCCGCGGCCCGCGCCCTCGCCGCCCTCTACGCCAAGACCTGCCCGGCGGGCGCTTCGGTCCTCTTCGACGCCCGGAAGAACCGGGTCCGCTGCGGGTGGCTCGTTGGTCTCCTCTGAGGCCCGCGCGCCATCGCATGCGGCCTCGACGAAGACGCCGTCTGCCGCCTCTGCCGCCCAGAAGTCCACCTCGGACGCCGCCAAGCACCTCGCCATGGACGAGATGGTCAGTCGCTCAGAGAAGGCAGCGCACCGTGTCCAAAGCCGACGTCAAGCGTGTCAAGGAGTTCTGCCGCGACCTCGATCAGCTCAAACTTACCCGTCGGTCGGTCGGAAAAAGTGGGTAGAAACATGAGGTAGGAAGGCGCTGGAGGTAGATTGGGATTCCGCCCGCCCCCTGAAGAGGAGGGAAGAGGGAACGCCACTGGTCTCTTGAAGTAAGAAGACGCCCGACGCAAATTGGGACTTGGGAGTCCAGAAATGTCTACTTTCAACGACCGGCATGCGGTGTCGGTCTCACTCTCGAGAGGGCGGCGACCCTGTGGGGGGGACAGGCGGGCACCTCTGTCCGTCACCGCCGTGCCCTCCTCCTCGAAAAGGCTGGCCAGGCCCAGGATGCCCTCAACCATTGTCCCTCTCCATGGCTGTCGCGGATTGTGCGCCTGTGGCCCTCGTCGGTGACCGCGCTCAACTCGGGCCTTCCTCCCGCTCTGAAGCTGCGGTCGCTCTCGGCATCAGGGTCTCCCTCCCAGATCCACGGCAGCATGGCCGCCGGCCTGGACACTTGCCGCCGCATGCGTCCGAGCCCACTCTGAATCCCCTCCTGGGCGCACTACCGGGGCCTTCTCAAATGTGGCCTCGCGCCCGATGGGCTGCGGGCGCCCTGGCGGCCCTCCCCGGCATCCAATGGCCCAAGCGCAAGTGCGCGAGCGGCGCCGCGGACGAGGAGAGCCGCCCGGCGTCCTCCGCGCCTCCCTCCGCCGCGCTGTCCCGTGGGCCGGTCTCCCGCCAGAAGAGGCCGGCGCACCTGCCGCCACTCCCCGCCCGGAACCCACGCTGCTCCGCTGCTTCGACGGGACGTGGCGCTCCTCTCCGGGAGACGCAAGCCGCTTCTTCATCCTCCACGCGCCCTCAGTCGAGTAATTACGCTCGGGGGCCCAGCTTCTGCAGCCCTGACGAGTGGTGGGTTGCGCGGCGCCTCCTGTCGGAGATCGTGCCTCACGTCGATGCCGACCTTTCGGTTGCGGTGCTCACCCCGTGCTGGGCCCAAGCGGATGCGCTCAACGCTGGCTGGCCCATGGACAGCCCCAACTCGAGTCGCCGACGGGGCGGTCCAGGGTAACCTCTCCTTTGCCAGCGTTCCCAGGGCTCACCCTCCAAGCCCGCTTTCTTCCACGGCCTGTGGAATAGGTGGCCCAGCGTCAAGGTTAGCTCCACCCACCAGATGCAGGGCGGGAAGGCGGACCTTCTCATCATCTCCTGCGTCAGGTCCAACGGGGGCTACGTCCTCGGCCACGCCGACTGCGCCCGCCGCATCAATGTTGCGCTCGCCCGGGGCAAGAGCGGCTGCATCGTGGTCATGACCAAGCCAGCCACGACGCCCGACTGCATGAGCTCCCCCACTTCGCCATCAATGACAACTTAGTAGGCAAGCTCGCCAACCATGGGGCGCCCGTCGAGGGCGCGATTGCCCGCTCCACGCGCCTCGACCAGTCCACGGCGTGCGGTGGCATCCCCAGGCCCGCCAAGCGCGAGCGCCGCTAGGAACAGAAGGAGGAGGCCGTCGCCGCATAGCAGCAGAAGGCCTTTACCGCCAATCCTCGCAAGCCTCCCCCGCCCGACTTCTCGGTGGCAGGCACCTGCGACAAATTGCGGACATGATATGGGAAGCTCGTGGGCAGTCCCGCTTTTCTCCCCATGTTCGCATGCGTCCTCCGCCTCCGCCCGCACCAATACAACTCCTCCAAAAAATGCCTTTGCGCCTCGCAAGTCGACCGCAATATCCTCCCCAAAAACGTGCAGAACCTCCACTCGATTCTCGGCTGCGACGCCAGCAACGTCACCCTCTCTCTTTCATGGCACGGGCTCCTGCATCATCTCGGGCTTGCGCCAGATCCCTCACAGCAGGTCCCCAGCGACCTCGTCCAGGCGCTAACGGTGCCGCAGAGAGCCAGCTTTTCCGATCCCAAGAAACGCAAGACCAAGATCACGGACGCGCGCCGCATCGCCACTTCTCTCACCGCAGCCACTTGCCAATGCCCGCTGCACCAGGGTGACCCTTCTGCCAACCTGTCGCAGCTTCTGCTGGCCCCGCCTCTCCAAACGTACGCGCGCGGCATCCTCCCGTCACTGCCGCCGCCTCCTGCCCACTTGGCGGCCGCGCTGCGTGATCTCGACGACTTCGCTCTGCCGCCGGAGGACCTCGGCAACGTTGGCGACTTCCCTGAGGCTCTTCTCGGCCTCGCAACGCCCCGCCACGCGGGGGGGGGGGGGCGCGATGTCCGGGACATGGCTCTGGCCGACTACCGGCTCTCCACCGACAACATCGCGGCCTGCCGTGCCGCCATCGAGACCTCTCTCGAAGCGATCGTGCGTCTCGTCATGCACCAGAGGAACGAACAATGGCATAAACATGAAAACTCGGAGGCCCGCGCGGATTTCTCGGATCGGCGCTGGGGCCCCCTGGCGGCGCCTCCAGCGCCGCCGCGCGCCAGGGAGGGGGGTCCAGGGCCGATCCGAGAAATCCGCGCGGACCTCTGTCTCTGTCATTGTTTGTTCCCCTGCGGTTGGGCTGCTGAAATCAGGAACGCTAAATCAGGAACGAAGCACCTCTGTGGCTTCAAAAAAGCCTGGGTGCACGAGAAGGGCTAGAGGAACAACCACGGAAGGACGTAAGGAACATCGAGCCCCTTCCGAATATAAAGTGTTCCTTATTTCAGCATCTTGGCTGTATGTGTACGCCCCAGGGAGCCGGTCCACGACCGACTCCGCCGACCGCCTCGCCCTCGCCACGGAATGCCGGCTCGGCTCCCAGCCCCACTTGCCATCGCTCGGACGTCCATTCCCTGTGCATTCTTCGGCCTCGTGCGTGGGTTTTTGCTCGATGGTCCAGGATGGTCCTCGATGGTTCTCGCCGAGGAAAAAATGCACACGTCCGAGCCGCACCGGCAGCCCCACGAACGGGGTCCTGGCTGCACCGGCAGCCCGCCTCCCCGCGGCCGCCGCTCCCGGAGCGGCCGCCGCGAGGCCAGAAGGGACTGCTGCCGAGTCTGCCGCGCTCCGGGGGATGCTGCCGGGGTGGCAGCCGCTTCCTCCCGGGATAAGGGGCGACCCCAAGCTGGCCTGAGGTCGGGCATGTCCCCTTGCAGGCGGCTTTTGGCGGAAACGTGCATATGAACTGCTCAAAAGCAGCAAACGAGTGATCGAACAATCGTCCCCGGACTTCTTGTTGAAACGATGTTTGAAAATTCCTCCTGTAGAGGGACAGGCCCGATGTAAGTGAAGGGGCCCTGGGAAACACAAATAAATACACACAATAATAAAAAGATCCCCCACACTTTCCCACATTTTCTGGGTTCTTGTCTCCCCCCCCGCTTCCCATCTTTTCCCACAGTTTCCTGGGAATCGACGATTCATTGTGTCTTTGTGTTCTTTCTCCTCCTGAGTACGGCTGCCCCGACGCTCGCCTCAAGCGGCCCCCCAGGCCCCGCGCGTGGGCCCGCCTCCTGGGCCCTCGCGCCGCAGGCCGCCGCGCCGGCCTGCGCCCCAGACGCCCGCAGCCCCACCTCTCGGGCCGCCCTCGTCGTCGGCCTACAGTAGAGGAGAGAGAACTGTGCACATGCACCGATTCTGGCCAGGCCCACCCTGAGCCCAGGATCGGAGCATACGCCCTGCTACCTTGGCCAGGAAGGTATATGCACCGATCCTGGGTCAGGAGTGGGCCTTGCCAGGATCGGTGCATGTGCACAGCTCCCTTCGCCCGATGCAATCGGCCTTGATTGGACAGGACACGCGAGAGGACACAGGACCCTTCCGAGGGCCACATCGCCACAGAAGTGTAAGAAGGCACGTGCCGCGAGACACAAGACACAGGGGTACCCTTGAGCTGGCAGGGTCGACCTACTAATCCGGGCCGACTGTATCATCGACCGCGGGGGCTCCGGGCAGGACTGGCGAGTCCTCTGCGAGCACTGCCACGCCGGCCAAGCACGGCCGGGGAAGGTGGTCGCCAAACCTGTCAAACCCTCCGCCTTCTCCAGGCCTTGCGCGCTCCGTGACTCTCTGACCGCCCTGTGGGCTGCGCGCGGCCATCTCGCGCGGGCTCCCCCAGGCGTGGGAGGAGGCCGAGCTTCCCCCGCGCGGCTCCTCGGCTCGCCGCGTCGTCCTGGACGGCAGCCCTCTGCCCCGCGACAGTCGGGGGTTGCTAAAAGGTGCTCCTGGCCCCAGGTACCCCCGACTGTTCGCCAGTTTTTTTAAGCCCTGGGGCCCTCTGGGCCTCGTGGGCGGTGCTCTGGAGGCCGCGGGGGCCTCCTTGGAAATCCTGGGGGCACCTTGGGCCAGGGGCACTTCTGGCATTAGGTCGGGCATGTCCCCCTACAGGCAGACTTTGGAGGATCAATTCAAAAGCACCTAGCTATACTCAAACATATGCAACCCATACTAGAAAAACAGCCCACAATTCTGTAAACCTGCTTTTGAATCTTCCTCCTGAAGAGGGACGTGCCCGACTTAACCGTGGGGGCCTCCTTGGAGATCCTGGGGGCACCTTGGGCCAGGGGCATTTTCTGGCAACGCCCGAGACAGGGGCGCCAAGCGGCGCGGCGCACAGGCCCAGAGCGCCTCCGAGTGGGGGCGCGCCTGCGGCGGCCCGCCTGTGCCTCCCCCTGGCGGCGGCCAGGCCCTTTCGCTCCCCCCCCCCCGCGCCGTCTCCGCTGGGGCGGCTCGCGCCGCCTCCCCTCCCTTGGCAGTGAGGATGGCGGGCTGCGCGGCCACCGCAGTGGCGAGCCCCCCCTCCCTGGCGGGCTCCTCGCACGCCGCCGCGCCCACGTGCCTCCGCCGCGGGGGACGCCCCCCGCGGAACAACCTAGGGATCCTTGTCGCCGGGCCTCGCGCGATCGGCCAGCATCTGCGGAGCCGGCCGGGCAGTCCAGCCAGGGCCCCCCTCGCGGCGTCACTGAGTTCGCTGGCGACTTCCCCCGCCTTCTCGTCGCCCTCTTCCGCCTCACCCAGGAGCAGCTCGTCGCCCTCGTCGACCTCGGGGGCAAGCGCTGTGGACTTCGTTGCCAACCCCCCGAGTGCGGCGACGAAGCCCGCGTCCATCGTCACTACCTGGCCGAGCTTTGATTGCTGCCGCCCCGCCCTCCTTGTGTGGCGCTTCCTCCCCCGCGACCTCTTAGGCGCGCCACCTGGTGCGACCTCCAGCCGGGAGGCGCCCTCGCAGTCGACCGCGCTCTCCTCCCACGTTTCCTGCAGCGCCTCCGAGACATCGGCTGCGCCCTCTAGGGCTCCACGGCTGCGCCGCTGCAGCCAGAGACCAGGTGCTCACAGCCCCGAGAGTGGCGGGGACCAGTCAGGGGACGGCTCCGCGTTGTGCAATCTATGTGGAGCAATCTGTGCGGAGCAGTCTGCCGTAGCACCCCGCAGATGCGGATAAGAGTGAGGGGGCGGTGGGGACGTCGGCAATTTGCGAAACTCTGGGGCAGCCCGCCGCAAGCGCAGATTCTTTCGCTAAATCAACGTGGGTAGCTCGCGGGTGGGCCGCAAAGGGTCGCGGGTGGGTCGCGGGTGGGTCGCGGGTGGGTCGCGGGGTGGGTCGCGGGGTGAGTCGCGGGTGGGTCGCGGGGTGGGTCGCGGGGTGGGTCGCGGGGCGGGTCGCGGGGTGGGTCGCGGGTGGGTCGCAGGGTGGGACGACGACGACAACAAAACAACAAAACAACAAAACAACAAAGCAACAACAACAACAACAGCAGCAACACCAACAACAACAACAACAACACCACCAACACCAACAACAACACCACCAACAACAACAGCAACAGCAACAACACCAACAACAACACCAACAACAACACCACCACCACCAACAACAACAAAGCACCAACAACAACCGCACCACCAACAACACCACCACCACCAACAACAACAACACCAGCAACAACAACACCAACAGCACCAAAAACACCACCACCACCACCACCAACAACAACACCACCAACAACACCAACACCAACACCAACAGCAACAACAGCAACAACAACACCACCAACAACAACACCAACACCAACAACAGCGACGACGACGACGCCAACAACAACAACAGCAACAACACCACCAACAACAACACCAACACCAACACCAACAACAACACCAACACCAACAACACCAGCAACAACAACAACAACAACAGCAACAACAGCAATAGCAACCACAGCACTACCACCGACAATTACAACAACAACCGCAACAACAACACCAGCAACAACAACCCCAACAACACCACCACCACCAACAACAACAGCAACAACAACACCACCACCAACAACAACACCAACACCAACACCACCAACAACAACAACACCAACAACTGCACCAATCAAGTTACCCTCATGCGCGATGTTTCCACACGAAGCATGCGACCATCATGACAACCATCAACGTAATGGGGGGCTCTTGTTCTATAGCGGGGTCCGTTATTCCCATTCCCGGATCACCCGCCCAATGAGGTCTTGCAAACACCTCCTCCGAGGAATTTTAACATATCCCGCCGCGAAAACGCATGCCCGCGCCTAGCTGCGCCGATGCGAGACCGCCAGTGGAACCCCAGCGAAGGGTAAAGCACAAGGAAGTATCGAACGACAGGATTGCCTTGGTGGGGACGGGGGCCGCCGTCGGCGGTGAGGCAACGACCTGGCCCTGAATAGGAAGGGAGGACGTCCCGAGCAAGGCTGCTGTTGTTGTTCTTGGGAGCGGCGCCAATGCCGAAGAGAGTAGGGTGCTAGTCCACCGTAAAACAAAACGAAATCTCGAGCGGGAACGCTGGTTTTGTTGGGACGGCGGTTTTCGGCGGCGAGGAAGGACACCGCCTTGAGTAAGAAAGGAAGAAGCATCGAGCGGGAACCGTGGTTTTGTCGTGACGGGGGTTGTCGGCGGCGAGGAACAGCACTGTCTCCAGGAAAAAAGGAGGAATCCTCGAGCGGGAGCGTTGTTCTTGCTGGGAGCGGTGCCAATTCAAAAGAGAGTTGGGCGCCAGTCCAGCGTAAAACGGAAGGAAGTCTCGGGCGGGAACGCTAGTTTTGTCGGGGCGGCGGTTTTCGGCGGCGAGGAGGGACACCGCCTTGATTAAGAAAGGAGGAAGCATCGAGCGGGAACCGTGGTTTTGTCGTGACGGGGGTTGTCGGCGGCGAGGAACAGCACCGTCTCCAGGAAAAAGGGAGGAATCCTCGAGCGGGAGCGTTGTTCTTGCTGGGGGCGGTGCCAATTCAAAAGAGAGTTGGGCGCCAGGGCGGGAGCGCTAGTTTTGTCGGGGCGGCGGTTTTCGGCGGCGAGGAGGGACACCGCCCTGAGTAAAGGTCGAAACCTCGAGCGGGAACGTTGTTTTTGCTGGGGGCAGCGCCGATGAGAGAAAGACTAGCGCGCCAATCCAGGGTAAAACGGGAGGAAGTCTCGAGCGGGAACGCTGGTTGTGTGGGGACGGCGGCTTTCGGCGGCGAGCAAAGGCACCGGCCCTGAAAAAAAAAGGAGGACGTCTCAAGCGGGAGCGTTGTTGTTGTTGGGGGCTCGGTTTTGGCGGTCCCCCAAGCCGCTCGAGCGTGAGCCTCATTTCCAATGAACGTGTAGCCGGCGCCTCGGCGAGAGCGCCAGAGCACCTCTATGGTGTCCAACAATAACAACTGTTTAGTAATTAGCATTCAACAGCAACAACATCAACGACAACAACACCCACAACACCAGCACAAACAATCATTATAAGACTGTTCGCTCTTACTTGCCCGCGTGTCATTCAAAAGGAGTTCCCCGCACCCTCGACACCCGCCCTTTTTGTCTTCGATCACACCCCCTTTTGGGGGATTCTTTCTCTTTGCGGGGGGCGGCGGGCTTAGACAAGCGGGCAAGCCTGAACGGGCGGACAATCCTTCGTGGGCGTACGTGTGACCGCCATTGGAATTGGCGTGAGCCCTGCAAACAGGAGGGCGAGAACGAGGGAGAGTGGGAGGAAGGGAGGGGGAGGGACGAAGGAAGAGGGAAAACGCCAGGAGAGAAGGAGCGAAGAGGGGGGCGGTTGATTAGAGGCAGAGAGAGAGAGAAAGAGGGAGAGAGAGAGAGAGAGAGCGAGAACGACAGATAAGAGAGAGGTAGAGAAATAGAGAGAGAAAGAGAGAGAGAGAGAGAGAGAGAGAAAAGGGAGAGAGAGAAAGAAAGAGGGAGGGAGGAGGCAGGAGAGGGGGAGAAGGACGGAGGGAGAGGAGGGAGAGGGGATAGGGCAGAGGCATAAGGATGAGGGAAGAGAGGAGGGAGAGAGAAGGGAGGAGAGGAGGGAGGAGGGAGAGGGAGGAGGAGCAGGAAGGTAAGAGCGTGAACGTTCGAGGAAGTCCTCGGCGAAAGCACCGTTCCTGAAGGAAGTCTCGGGGGGGAGCCCACGACGGGCGGGCGATCCTCTGACGGGCGGATCGGGCGGGTGGGACATTCAAGCGGGATGCCTGAGTATGGTGAGAGCGCGATTACTAAGTCAATTGTAACGGCGTCCTTGGCGCAGCGTGATTCCTGAGCGTCGAAAACGCGATTCCTGAATACATTGCATGGAAGTCACAGGCGAGAGCGCAATCCGTGAATAAATTGTGAAGGGTTCTCTGGCGGGAGCGGGGGTCTGGATTAAATTGCGAGGAAATCTTGATTCAATTGCGAGGTCTCAAGCGGGATCGCCGTTCCTGATTACATTGAAAGGAGGTCACAGGCGGGAGCACCGATCCCGAGTAAATTGTGAAGAAGTCTCAGGAGCGGGGGTCCTGAGTAAATTTGGAGGAAATCTCAGGCGGGAGCCATTGTTGTTGCAATCCGCGTGGCCAAGGGCCCAGTTTGAGCACCAAGACTTTCCCTGTCAAAAAACCGGGTGCGAGCGTCGAGGCGCACACGTTGATGGAGAAAAAACAATATGCACTGGTGAGGGGGGATCAGCAACAATTATTTTTCAGAAGTGAGAGTTCAACAACAGCACCAACAACAACAACGACGACAACAACACAAACAACACCATCAACAGCAACAACAACAGCAACAAGAACACCAACACCAACAGCAACACCACCACCAACAACAACGACACCAACAACAGCAGCAGCAACAGCAGCACCAGCAGCATCAACAGCAACAACACCACCAACAACAACAGCAGCACCAGCAACAACAACAACCACAACACCATCAATAACAACAACAGCAACAACAACAGCAACACCACCAATAACAGAAACGCAACAAACGAAATCCTCGCCATGGGTCCCCACTTCAGCCACGAACCCAGGGACAATGAATGACCGCTCGCCCCCCTCACTCTGATGTGTTGTATTCTAGTGTGTTCAATCTGTGTTGTGCAATATCAGTTGTGCAATGTATGTGATGTAGCCTAGATTGTTCAATCTTCGTGGGGCAATATACCTGATGCAATTTATGTGGTGCAAGCTATGTTGTGCACTCTATGTAGTGAACTGATTGTCAGACAGATTTTGAGTGGTCCACTCCACTGCTCGCGCAAACATCCCACCCACCCACCCCTAACTTGGTTTGCAAAATCAGTGCGTCGGCGATTACGATGAGTGCTTGGTGATGGCTGGTGCATCCTAGCGGCCACGCCAGTGCGCAAATGCTCGCGCGCACAGCGGCTAGCCCGTTTGACGCAACCGACGCGACTGCGGTGGCGCTGTCCGCTGGGCACTTCTGAGCCCGTCTCGCATGCCGCGCCGACGCGCGGGCACTTCAGTGCGAGTCGGTGACTTGGGCGGGATGGCGACGTCGACAACGGTAGACACGATGATGATCGTAGCGGTGATGGTGGCGAGGATGACGATGACGCTGGCGTGGCCAATGACGGCGCCGATGCTGATCAGGCCGATGACGATGATGGTGTCTTCGCGTCGGTGATGAGAGATCCGAGCGGTTTTCGACATGCGCGCGCGGCCGGCGCGCGCGAGTGGGCCGCATGACCTGATTTGAAAAAGGATCGCTCCCCCAACACGCGCGCAAAGGCGTTCGAATGATTCCGACATGCGCGCGCGAGAGGCCTGTTTGGTTGCATTTGGTTACAGTGTTGGAAAAACCGGTCGTTTTCTTAAGAATTCGCACGAGCGCGCGCGCGCGCAGATTTTTGTCGAAAACTGACGTTGCCAAACCATGCGTCCCTTTTCACATTCGCCGACCCTGTGTCGGCGTGTGTGAGGGGCTTGTCCGTTCCCGTCGTTCGTTCGTCGTCATCTCCGTCGTCTCCTGTCCCTGCGCTCACCCTTTCCCTGGG